AAATTTTGTCGATCAAATGATCGACATCTATATCAATGTCATTTGCTATGATCGACATGCGACATGTCCGGTGACTGATAAGGTTATTTTCATTACGACCATTCATCTTGGAAATGGAAAATCATTTTACCAAGAAAATCAACTAGTATTTTAGTAATTAGCATACATGTGGTTCGGTTTTAATTTAAAAACCTCTTTCTTGGTTAGTAAATAAAATAGAAAAAAAAGATAATTGAATATATTCAATGAAACATCCGGTCCGTCATCCGATATCGGATTATCATTCTTTAAAATGAATGCTGTCATATGGTTAAAAAAGACCGTACTTTAAGCCAAACTTGATCTTGAATTAATTTCGTATGATTCTGAATTACGTCTATCAATGGATAAAAAAAATACTTTCAGAAACTTAATTTCCCTGAAATGATCCAATAGCAAATGCTCATCTTTCTTCTTTAGCTTGTATTCTCAATACATTTTTTTCTCATTCAATCTAACAACGTGATTATGCCAAATTTCTTATATAAATAATAAAAATTATTAAAATTATTTTAAAAAACACATTAAATTTACTATGCAACGTCCTATTTCTTTCACTTTTATTATCATTGTAACCATCTGTAGCTTAATGGCTTTTATACCAGCCACTAAAGGTAAAGTTCTGAAATATTTATTAGTTTTCAAATACAGTGATTTAATTTATTTAATATATATATATATAGCATATGAGATTCTATTTAAGAGTGAAGGTGGTGATACAGGTAATTATATCGGATTTTATTGAGCTAAATTCCATGAATGATTTGATATTATGTATATTCCTTTCGATTTTAATTTGATTTTACTTGTGTACAGAATCTGTATGTTGTATTTGGCAGGAGGATGGTTCACAAAACTTCATAACTCATATACCTCCAGGCCAGTCTGATGATCGTGATTATTATTGTTACCATTGTCCTTTCTTCGATTCTCTAAAACAATATGGTGTGGATATAAGAAACGGTATTGCTACTTATCACACGGTAGACTATACTACAACATACTGGGTTGATTTTGGTGTTGAACCGGGTGATACCGGAGATTACACAGCTACCAATAGAGGTGGTTATAACAGTGACGCCTGTTTCAGTTTAAAGGGCTGGCTAGGCAGTAGTATATCGATTGATGAATTATCTTTAGAAGATTGTAAAAAAATCAGAAATCAGTAATAAGACCGCATATCTTTGCAAAAACAATACATCAATCATTGGTCTTGTATAATGTACTTTGCAGATACTAATTATATCATGAAAAAAATACTCTTCAATATCAATA